TTAATAAAATATTATAAGAAAGGACTAAAATAATCTCATTCTTGTTTTAAAAATTAGTATATCTTATCTTTTTCAATGAGCTTTATTAAAAAGGCATAGTTTTAAAATATTTTTTCACTTAATTTTTTGTAATATATATATTGATACTCACTTTTTTTGTGTATATATAAGGAGAGATTTTCTTATACATGAGTCTTATACATCATACTTACATAAAATATTGATAATTTATCTTAAGAAAAAAAAATCACTAAAATTTTAGATAAATGTAGAAGGTAAAATTTGTGTATAAGTGAATTTTGAATATATATATATATATATATTTGTATATATAATATAATTACCTATCCCCATAACTGCCATTACAATCTTTTAATAGGGGGTAGGGGTAAAGGAAGCTGAGGGTAAAGGAAGCTGAGGGTCAAACACCAAACACCCTAGTTGTGTTCCCACTTGCGACGCAGGGTGGTACCACTTCGCCCATCATGTGGAGAATAGCAATGAGCCCTTTTATGTGGTTTGAAGAATTAAAAACTGACTCCAAAATCTTTAAGGTTGTGAGTTTTACAATAATAATATTAAAATTATAATGTCAAGTAAGGTTTAAGTTATAATTATAATGTGTTATTAAATAAATTAATATATATAATATTATGGATAGATATATTCTTAAATAAAAACAATTAATTGCACTTGGGCCTTCGGCCTATTGGTCCCAGAGCACCCGTAAAGTGCACTCCTCTTTCTTGAGTAACGGTTCGAATCCAATCTTTTACAAATTTGTTCAAAAAAAAAAAATCATATATTATTATTATGATTGATGACTTTATATATCACTTAATATTAAAATTATATCATTTTCTCGAGTTTTACTCTTAGGGTTTTATTTAAAAATTTTTGTGCTTATACTTGATTGTTGTATCTTTACTGTGGGGTAATAATTATTGCCACTAAAATTTAAGACAAAATTATTTCAACCAGTAATTATGTGGGCTAATTTATATATATAAGACTTACACCATAATTAATAACAACCATAAATTCTTCTGAAAATTTGTTCTTAAAAATTAGTCCTAACTCATAAAAAAAAAATCATTGTGTCACACAGTCAAAATATCATTTTAACCTTTTGCATGAAGGATTAATTAAAGGGTAAAAATGTAAACGGAATGTTAAAAACAATTAAATTTCTTTAATTATAAATTTTAGACAATCCATTTGACCTAATAATAAACAAGTTTCAAAAAACCTAGTGCCTTCAAATCATTTTGGTATTAGATTTATCAATGAAAGGTGATGAATATGTTATTAAATATTAATCTTTGAAAACATCAAAATATATATATATATATTAATCTTTGAAAATGTCTCATGAAGTATACAAATAGAACATTCTTAAGTAAGTTAAATAACGCGGATTGCAAGAATTCTCATCCTACTCTTACCAAAAGACCAAGTCCAACTATTTAGACTAATTCCACCTATTTCCACATCATCTTTAGTTGGAGACTAAAGCCGCAGTTTTTGGTCTTGAGTTTTTTCTTTCTTTCTTTTTTTAATGGATTAGACGTGGCCGAGTGTTTTCACTTAAGTTTGATTGAAATTTTGTTCGGCGTTGCTTTGATATCATGAGATTGTTTTTTTGACATTTTAAATTAGAAATTGGTTGGTCATTATAGGAAAAATCTAGAAAATATGAGAAACTTGGGTTTTCTTTCTTTCTTTTTTTAATGGATTAGACGTGGCCGAGTGTTTTCTCCTAAGTTTAATTGAATTTTTTTTTTTGCGTTGCTTTGATATCATGAGATTGTTTTTTTGACATTTTAAATTAGAAATTGGTTGGTCATTATAGGAAAAACCTAGAAAATATGAGAAACTTGGGGTTTGTTCATCGAGTTGTTGGGTTTAGAGGATTTTTTACCCAAAACTGAGGTAAGGGCATTGCTGG